GGTGTGCATTTTAGTGCATTTAAATTTGTAGATTCTTGTAAATTCAGAAATTTTAGTTCAGAAAAAAGCACTAAAAAGTGCACCAGGCACTAAACCATTTTTTTGGCGTTTTAATTTTCAAAAAGCACTAAATCTAGTGCTTAAAGCACTAAGTTGGCAACTATGGCGATATGTATATTCAAACGAGTATGTATGTACAAGCAAAATGTATTCAACAAAGTGTGATTGATTTTGACATTGCTCTCTTAAGAAACAGGCTATAATGTCAAACTGAAATGAATTCTTAACCCATTCGAATTTTTTCTTTCAAATTTTAATTTGTTCAAAAAAAAGTTACACACAAATTTTTCAAGCAACAAATTTTCTTAATAAACGTGAAATTGTTAAGAGATAAACCGCCGAGAAGAGCAAGTAAGTACATTTAAGTTTGGTAATAAGTAAATACGTTCGACTTTGCTTAAATATTTTATGTAAGGAAACCAAGATGAAACGGAGCAAAACGTTTGAACGGTGCGCTGTATGCAATACAAGTCAGGACACGAAAACAGTGCGATGTTTTAAACCACCTAGTTGCGAATTAAGACGGCAGCGATGGGAAGAAAGCTGTGGTGTTGTACTGCGTGATTCCTCTCGCGTTTGTGAAAACCACTTCAAGGAAAGTGATGTCTAAATCAAACACTTTCCAACGAGCTCGTTGATACCCATGCGCAGTCCCAATGCCATACGAAATAACTGATACAAGTGAGGATTTAGTACGCGATCCGGATACATTCTTTGTTGACGTCCAAACTCAAACAGGCGACTCTTTAGAATGCGCGTTGAGAACAGAAGTATTTCCTCTTACCGAAATAATTAAAACCATGCAAGCAAGTATGGAAGAGCTTAATTTAAAGCTGCTCGAAGCAAAGTCTTTAATGTAAAACTATTTCGCATGAAAAAAATTTAATTTCAAAATTGTTAGAGTTAAGCTCACATATAAAATTGGAAACAAATGTAAAATCCTACTTTTATAAGTGTCGAATAATGTTTAGGATAAAAAATTTAAGTACAAAAATAAACGCGCAAAAGCATAAAACTTGGGCAATTAAAAACAAGAAAATTGCTAAAACTTTTATTGACGAAATATATATATTCCAGGTAATGTAAGTAAAACAAAACTATAATCGAAATAAAGGCCTAGGGCATCAGTGCTGATAAGATACATGCATCACTAAGGGTTAATTAGTTTGTTTATACTTTTTGACATTATAGTACCTTAAAAGAGAGCTGCACTGAATTGTCAATCACACCCAAGGTGTATTAAACAAGGTGTGATTGACAACTCCGTGCGGCTCTCTTTTAAGGTACTATAATGTCAAAAAGTATAAACAAACGAATTAACCCTTAGTGATGCATTTATCATATCAGCACTGATGCCCTAGGCTTTTATTTCGATTATAGTTTTATTTTACTTACATTACTTACATCACATATATTTTGTCAATAAAATAAAACAAATTGTTTATAAAATCGTTTTAGCAATTTTCTTGTTTTTAATTGCCCTAGTTTTATACTTTTGTGCGTTTATTTTTATATTTAAATTTTTTATCCTAAGCATTATTCGACACTTATAAAAGTATGATTTTACATTTTTTACCACTTTTATATGTGAGCTTAACTCAAACAATTTTGAAATTAAATTTTTTTTCATGCGAAATAGTTTTCCATTAAAGACCTTGCTTCGAGCGGTTTTAATTTAAGCTCTACCATACTTGCTTGCATGGTTTAATTATTTCGGTAAGCCGAAATATTTCTGTTCGCAACGTGCATTCTAAAGAGTCGTCTGTTTGAGTTTGGGCATCAACAAAGAATGTATCCTGATCGCGTACTAAATCCTCACTTGTATCAGTTTTTCCGTATGGCATTGGGACTGCGCATGGGTATAAACGAGCTCGTTGGAAAGTGTTTGATTTGGACATCACTTTCCTTGAAGTGGTTTTCACAAACGCGAGATGAATCACGTAGTACAACACCACAGCTTTCTTCCCATCGCTGCCGTCTAAATTCGCAACTAGGTGGTTTAAAATATCGCACTATTTTCGTGTCCTGACTTGTATTGCATACAGCGCACCGTTCAAACGTTTTGCTCCGTTTCATCTTGGTTTCCTTACATAAAATATTTAAGCAAAGTCGAACGTATTTACTTATTACCAAACTTAATTGTACTTACTTGCTCTTCTCGGCGGTTTATCTCTTAACAATTTCACGTTTATTAAGAAAATTTGTTGCTTGAAAAATTTGTGTGTAACTTTTTTTTGAACAAATTAAAATTTGAAAGAAAAAATTCGAATGGGTTAAGAATTCATTTCAGTTTGACATTATAGCCTGTTTCTTATGAGAGCAATGTCAAAATCAATCACACTTTGTTGAATACATTTTGATCACACCTTGTTTAATACACCTTGTGTACAAGTACAAACTCTTCTCATTAATCTCAAAATTTGCTGTGGCGCTCAAGGTGTGATTGACAACTCACTGCGGCTCTCTTTTAAGGCACTATAGTGTAAAAAAATATAAACAAACGATTCAAATTTTTTTTCGATTCGTTATAGGATGGTTTTTCTGAGAGCAATGTCAAATTCAATCACACTTTGTTAAATATATTTTGGTGGCGCTATCCAAATAGCGTGATCAGGATTGCGTGATTCAAAATACTTTTTGATTTTAATTTCGCCTTTAATTAAGAAATATATTTGAATTGTGATTTGATTCAACGACGCAATAAAAAAATAAAATATTTATGAGTTTATTCGCCGGCAAAATAAGAAATAAAATTTATTCGCTGGTGTTGGTTGATTTAGCCGACTGAGTGGTAAGATGATTTATTTTGGATCGAATCTCCATCATACCTTGTCAAATTTTGGAGACAAACCTGTTTCGGCGTTTTGTCATCTTCAGTGTAAATTTTTGCGGTTTTTAGGGGACCTATAAAAATAGTTAATACATAGTTAAATAATAGTTAAAACAGAGTTTTCCGATCAAAAAGTATTGTGAAGTGTTTTTTCCCATACCAAATGCATGGAAAACTTCATCGGTTTTGAAGTAGCTCTAAATATAATTTTTTTAACAAAAGAATACTGGTAATCTTTGTTTCGATTTAGAAAAATCCTAGGGGGTGAGAGCCTAACATTTTAAACTTTTTTCCCCCCGCTTGTATTTAAGAACCACCCTAGTGGACAACCCATTGCAGCTTGATCCGTTTATATTTAGTGTGGGCTACTGATGTGACTTCACAAAGAAGAGACGCACTTGGCGAAGTGGCATCAAGCCAATCAGACAGATCCAAGGCGAATTTATACAAGGTGGTGTTGATGGCGAATTTAGATTTTCGCCGAGGTACTAATTAAGTCAAAATGATGTATTTGTTGTAAACAAGGCGAATTCATATAGCAACAAACACACTATTTTGACATTAATAAGTACTGCGGCGAAAACCTAAATTCGCCAATAACACCACCTTGTATAAATTCGACTTGGATCGATCTGTACCCAATGTCGATGGCGCGGTAAAATGAAAACTGAGTTGTCAAAAAACGAAATGACAGCTGATGTTAAGACAGCGATGGTAAGAAATTCGGCAAGACAGGTATGGTTTAACAGTGGAAATTTCCGGTCCCCACTCGACATTTGTGTCTTAACAAAGCTTTTTTAGCAGAAGCTGTAGAAGGTAACTGCCATTTTCTGCCAAAAATTGGATTTGCTCACACAAGCTCTTCGCTCAATCCTTATCCATTAGTCCTGAAATACAGCCATTTTGAACAATGAGTGTTTTTACTATCTAGAAAATAATTCACATACGCGGTTTTGCGTTATCTTGATACGCGGTTTTTGTACTTTAAACGACGATATGTTGGTCGTTGTCAACACCTGAAAACGCTCAGTCCCCCATTTGATATCTATCTTCTATTGGAGTTCATTTCCTTTACACGGTTACAAGTACACTTAAGTCTCCTTTTATGCGTTTTTTACGCGGATTTGAATTAATGCGGTTTTCAAACCATTTTTTCTTATATGACTAATGTTTTCATTGTGGTATTTTTTCTTTGTTTTTGGTTAAAATGCAGATAAAATTCTATTCATTTCATTAATGTTCAGGTTTACATGGAATATATGTAAGTGTTGAAGGGAAGAAATAGTTTTTTTTTTTTGCTTAATATTAGGTGTATTCGCGTATTCTTCCAGCAAACATCTCTCAGCGGAAAATTCTAATGAATTTTTATCAGTTCTCTCTCAAAGAGAGAAATGTTAGCAAAAGTTCACGAACGCAAAACTAGCAAAAACTTGCAAGTTTTTAGTACAGCTGATCGAAATTTTCTTTACGTACAAAAGCATAAAACAGAAAATATGAAAAGAATATAAATTAGAAGTACTTCTAAAGCAACATGAGTAAATGAGTATTTGCTTTCTACCGATACATTTGCAGTTCTAATAAGTTATTTCAAACTTAAAAATTATAATAATAAATCTAAATCTAAATCTAAACCTGAAATAAATTTAAATATTTTCATAAATAGAAAACAGTTGACTTTGATCAGCTGTTTTTCTTGCTGGCAAATGGCTGCTGGCAAAAATTTTTCCAGCAGAAACTAGCAGCTTTTCATCAGAATGAAATGTCGATTTGGCCTCTCAATTTCTTTTATATGGAGTATCTGAATTTATGCGGATTTTGAAAATGCTGGAACGCATACCCTGTTTTTGTATGAAAGTGCGGATTTTTTTTTAGGTGGCTTTCTGAGGAACGCATGTACCGCATAAAAAAAGACCTAAGTGTATATGGATTATTATTAAATATGTATTAGACACATATGTATGTACATACATACATGTGTATAGCATATAGTAGATATGGTGGTGATAAGTTTGTTTATGGCCGTAATGCATACATTTGGATGAAACGCGAAAATGTTAACAAGAGCAAATTTATTAAATTAGTAAGTAAAGAAAATACGAGCATGGCTATATGATCTTATTGCTATCTGTGCTACTGGTGCTGCGTCTTTTTCCCCGAGTATATTCGTTAAAATTAGCTGCAAGGCTTGCCAATATTTTATTCAGCCCCAATTGTATGGAGCCTTCAGTTGACTTCGGGACGTTGTAATGGACACACACGCGTTGGTGCAAATAAAATAATAAATATAGAAGTTGCGCGGAAATTGAAATACTCGTAGGTACTTGATGTGATAAAGTTTTGATAACGTTCTAAAATTAAAAAATAATAATTTACTAGCTATAACTTTTCTAAATTTTATATCGATTGCTTTTCTATATATGTATGTACATATGTAAGTGAAAAGTTTTGTGTAATAAGTAGAGTACTTATAATTTAAGTACACATCAATTAACTATTAACAAAAGTAATTTAGAGGAGTGAGTCTAGAAGTAGGAGTGGTAAATTGTACGCATGTGCAAAATAATTTGTTGATAAGACACATCTGAGTACGGCAAATTCTTCAAACAATTGCGAAATAATGTAGTCTGAAGTATTGTGAAATTGAATTGAAATTGTGTAATTGAAATATTATGTGGCGGAGTTTTGGAAACACTTACTGTTCATATGTAAAAAAATCGAACTTCCCTAGAAGTGGTTTTGTAATTTAATTCATTTTTTTTATTTGATAAAATAATTCAATAAGATATGAATAAACTTAGTCAACAAATCAAAAGAATTCCAATCAGATTAAGGCCATTAAAATATGTTTTTTATACTTCTTTTAATAATTGAGTTATTGAACTTTATACCACGATTTGTTTGTTAGGAAAAATGGGAATAGCAATAAAGTCTACGGGGTAGAAGTTATAGCTGCTATTTCGGAGATCCCCACATCTCACAGTGGTTCGGATCGCAAATCTAGCTGGACGAAACTATTTAAACAAATTCTCGTTGATGGATCTTTACACCACTTCTTACCTAGGGGATTTTTGGGTCGCTGATTACGAATCTGAAGTCACTTTTCAAAAATTCAAAATGGCGGATCCAATATGGCGGACGAAAATTAAAAAAATCGGTAGATTTCTATGAAACTGGGTATCTGGGGGTTTTCTGGGTCGCTGATAACATATCTAAAGTCATTTACCAAAAATTCAAAATGGAGGATCCAATATGGCGGACGAAAATTAAAAAAAAATCGGTAGATTTCTATGTAACTGGGTATCTGGGGGTTTTCTGGGTTGCTGATTACGAATCTAAAGTCATTTACTTAATTTACTTTATTTACTTCGGAACGAGCATTTTCATCAGATATTTCTTTCAATTTACTAATCACATAATCACGGACCTTGTTGTCTTTTAGAAGTTTCAGCAACACTTCTCCAAATGTTAAACAACTCACTTTTTAAGATTTTCTTTACCATGACTAAAATTTAAGATCACAGCAGGAAACACAAATAAATTTCAGAAAAAAATTTATAACAGCGCTTAAAGATTTGCATGCCTGTTGTATAATTTTTTAATTTCAGAAAGCAGAAAATTCGCGAGTTACTATTTTTTTTAACTCTTAAATAACCAAAGTTTTTATAACTCCCAGTATTTTTCTGTTTTAACACACAAATTAATCAAAATGATGATTTTTCAGAATAAATTTGCTTATACCAGTGTGGACATAAATTGCGTTATGACCTCTGAATCTATAGCGGAATAAGTGTAATTTTTTGTTTATAAAGTCAATTTGTAATTATACAAATATCTGTGAGTGAAATTAGCAATCTTTTAAGTTAAATTTCAGCCTTTAAAATAGAATTCTCAAATTTGGCGGCGTTGACTTACCTTTTTTGTTTGTTTTCATATGTTAATGCTTTAATAAATGCAATTTCTATTTGAATGTATTGTCAGGAATGTATTCCAAGTACCATTAAGTATTTTAAAAACAAAAAAATTTTGACTTACGTCCAGCTAGATCTGCTATCCGAACCACTGTGCATCTCCGCACCAGACTTAGTTATTTTGTATCCTTTGGTAGCCGGCACTAAATTTTTGGATTTTTCAAAATTGGTAACCATTACAAAAAAGTTGAAAGTATAAATATGGGCGCTAACGCCTCCGCTTTTCTCAAAATTGGGAACTGTTAATAAAAATCCGAATTTTTGGAAATTGTTTACCGGTACAAAAACGATCTAATTTTTAAAATCACCGGTATTTATTGTAGAAGTAAAGTTTCAACAAATTTTTCGACATTTGTCTATTTGTGTGTCAGTGTCGGTAACATTGATGCGGCAATTATGAATACATAGTTTTATTGAATTAAAAATATTAGCTGCCAAGTTGAGAGATAGAACATTTTCTAATTTTCATTAAAATCATTTTCTGAAGAAAAATATATCGATACCTGAGTGGAAGATCGACCTAGCCAGATTGAAAGCGCCTTATCCCAGAAAACTTTTCAATAACTCCCTACTTCCGAACTTGATTCAAGAAAGCATCCCTATCTCAGAATTTTGTGTGAATACGATTCTAAACATCATACCCATAGATATTATGGGAAGGCAATACGCTGTGATAGTTGCCCTAAGACTACAGGATCTTAGAAGCTGGAAAGCGGCTCTTATCAACCGACAACCATTTACCGAGCACAACGGACTATTGTGTACCAATGCTCACGTTCACTAAAGGTTATAGCCTAGCAGAGAATCATGGATCGAAGGAGTTCCAGGATCTGAAAATGCCATAAGATTCTATACGGACGGCTCCAAACTAGAAAACAGGGTAGGAGCCACTGTGGCGTCTTTCAAGCCAAACTGGCAGCCATACAAGAAGCCATTGACAGCCTAAATGTAGCTGTTATCGCCAGTAATAATAGATATATATACTCAGATAGTCAGGCGGCCCTTATGGCACTTTACGCTGTCACCATTAATTCGGAAACAGTTGTCAACTGCCACAAATCACTTAGCGTGATGGCAGAGCAGTTGGTATGGGTACAGGAGCACAGTGACATACCAGGAAATGAGAAGGCAGACGAGCTTGCAAGGGGGGTACTTCCTCTCTACTTTTTCCATCCTGGAAGAGGATGGGTATGCGACTCGCTTCCTGCAAGCTCTTATTAAGAGAACACTTGCTTGAAAAAGCAGCCCCACCAGATGGGAGCGCACTGAAAACTGTAATTCAAGGAAGCTTACATGGTCAAAATGGAATATATGGAGATCGAGAGAAAGTCTCACTCTCAATAGAGGCGATATGTCATTGGCCATTGGCCATATGGATTCACAATGGGCCTGATTGGGCCTAAGTGTACTGGCGTCGTCTGAACCTGGAAGCCACTTCAACCTAACCTAGTTCTCTACTATACAGAGTGTCCTACACCACCCCTCAACCCCCGTCTAAAATGTAGGGAAATATTTTTTATGACCTACCAAATCAGCTCTATGTATTTTATCCGCAGAACGCAAAACTGTGGTAAAAGCATGTATATCTCATTTAAAAAATGAACTTCCGGTCATTTAAATCTTCTTGCGGTCGAAACCGGGAGTCGGCAATAAGACCAACATATAGAGCATCCTCCTCTTAGTAATTCATATTTTTTTGTTTTTTAAAAAAACATTTTCACTCATTTCAGAAGTCCAGGACAAGTTTAAGTTCGAAGGTCATTTAAAGGGTTAAACGGCCACTTCCCACAAAAAAGTTTTAAACAAAAACCAAAAAGTTTTTTCCTCAGAATCAGAATCTGTAGTAAAACAAAAGTTTAACCCACCTCCGGTCGAAACTGGAAGTCGGTAATACCAGCAAAAGATACTTCATCCCCGGTTGGGCAGGTCATATTTTTCGGTTTTTTTTTTCAATAAAAAAAAAACATTTCTTTGGGTTGTCTTTTCTGGCGGTATATAATTTATTTTAAAGGAAAATTTCGGCTAAATTATTTTTAGTGCATAAATTACCTTCACACAAATACCAAATATGTTCATATTGTATTGTATTGTATTTTCGATTTTTGCCCACTAAAGCTGCACTGTGCCCCGGACCCAAATATGTACCTCAATTCCGGTACTTCCTCAGTCAATGAACGAGCTCTGTAGAAATATCTGTATGTTGGTTTATCTTATATGTTTCGGATATACCAACCTAATGCTCTGCTTCGATCATCCTTCGGCTCATAACCCCATTTTTTCCTTTCGTCTGCGCCTGGCTATGAATATGAAATGGGTTATGATTTAGATTCTTGAAGAACTTTCAATAATAGTTTTGGACAAGCTCTTATCGCTTTTGTATCTTAGTGAGTGCCTTTATGAAGATTGCTCTAAAAGTTATCATAGATCGCACTATCGCCGTATAGACTAATCTTAGTACTTTTGGAGAGCAACCCCAAATTTTTCCTCCTATGAACCTAGATATATCATCAATGTTCTTACAGCCATGTGTGTTTTCCAGGGTAATTTTTGGCACATCCTTTTTTTGGAGGAACCCAACTAATTACTTATGTATATAGTAGTTTATAAATGGTCCAACAGTAAATACGATGAATTGTATATAAGAATCTTCATATGTGAATATGTTGGTAGGTACATGCATGAGTAAGCAAAAACTCGCTTAAGCCGCGCACCAAATCCCCATTTGGTTCTGTATGTTTTTATGAAATTCTTATCGAAGTTATATAAACATGAAGGAACACCTAGAGCTATCTTTAGTATTAACTATGTAAGTTTATATGCCCAGTAATTGACCATAAACATTTAGTGCATTTTATTGGCGGGTGGTGTTTGCTGTTCATACAGCAGAACACAACCCAGACTTTACATGTAGCATTTTCAAAGTGCATAAATAAATACCAAATGGTTTTAAAGCGCATCTACATATTTGTTTTTCAAATCAAATAGCGTGTTTATGAATAGATCTGCGCAAATAATAATGCAGTACAATTGTTGTTTGACAGATAAATGTCACTAAATGTGTATAAATGATCTATTTTTTATTGTTCTTATATTACTTTGTATGTATATATGTAGGTAAGTATAAATGTACAAATGTATACCTACACCGGGATGCGAGTGCATTACTTCGAAATTCGTTATCACCGAGTTCAAGCAATTAAGAAATTATTTACACTTCACAAGTTTACAATTGATATACTACGTGTCTGAGCAAGCACTGAGCAAGCTACTACGTGTCAAAAGCAAGCTTACACATATACAGAGAGATAGACATACAAATGTACATACATACCGACATACATACATATGTATGTTAGGATACTATTAAGAATAAGCATACCCAGTTGGAAACCTACGCCTAGGGTTGCCATATTGGCAGAAAAACCATTGATATTTTCGATGTCGATATATCAGATTACAAAAAATCGATGTCGAATTTAATTGTTCATCTGTAATTTTATATCTAATGTCAAAAATTAATTCCCAAACTTTCGATGTTAAGAACATCGATGCAACGATATTTAAGCGTTGAAAACATCGGTTAAAACATGGATGTTTTTTTTTTTTTGCCGATACATCGATGTATCGTTAGCATCCCTACCCACGCCTGATTTCGTACAAGCCGAAAGCAGCTGGCATTTCCAAAAAGTCATCAATGACTTTTTCAAGCAAGTGTGAGTTTTGCCAATTCTTCTCTTCAGACATGGCGTCCAGCATGATAGCTCAGTTATGCATACTTTGCACTGCACTGCATAGAATGTCATTTTTACTTAGGAAATCAAAAACCAACAGACTTCTGCAAATGTAATGCTGTGCGCTGGGTAACCGCTTACACGCTTCCCTATTTGACTCTCTCTCATGCAATGCCAAGTATGCATAACTGAACCATGATGACACCCATTGACTATGCATTGCAGACTGGGTTTCTCCCTTTTCTGTTCTACTTAATGTCTTCCTCTTTGACTCGTACTCTTTTGCGAACGCTGGCTTTTAGTGACTACCATTTCCAAGCAGGTATTTTTGGTAGTCAATTCAAGTAAAATGGTATTAACGACTTCATTGATGACATTTTCATCAGTCAACTATTTTCCAACAGGGTATACACATACATATATATATTCATACATACATGTATATAACATTAATAGATAGCCCATTTATCATACTTAAAAATCTTCGCAACACTTCCCTATCACTTCCCAATTTGACGAAGCTGCGCAAGAATAAAATTCTTAATAAAAAATAATATTATTTAATTGTTTACTTATCTCGCATATTGCTCAAAATAGAATTAAAAAAATACTGGTTCCTCGTTAATGTTTTTGTTTTTGATTTCAGTTTCACTTAAAAACCAAATACTACGGTTACTAGAATACTCTGAGGCTAGGCAATTGTCCAACCATGGTTAATGGTAGCTACAATGTTGCAATGCAAGGCCGCCCAGAGCCAGCTGATAATTTCCAGAAATCGGATACTCTACCAGGACCAAAAGACTTTGAGGCTAAAACACAGAAGTAAGCTAAATTTTTTACAAACACGACCACATACATAGTTCCATATTCCTAATATGTAATTATTGGTTTATTTTCAGCGGCACGAGCGATTCACAAATAAGATACCCATATTTAGAGCTGGTGAGTGTTCTGTCTAAAAAGAAACTATGAAGCGAAATAAAAATGTTAAGGAATTTTTTTTAAATTTATTTGGTCATTGATGTCAACGTAAAAGAGGTACAGTAGGTGCTTTCACCTATCCAGTACAGTAAGGTTCATTCAGCAGCGAAATTCCTATGAATTTGAAGATTTTCTCTCATCGAGAGATGCTTGCAACATTTTACACGAACGTAAATTTGCAGAAACTTGCAATTTTCACTGCCAGCTGGGGTCAATGGTTGCATTTCAAACTTGAAAAATGTTTAAAGAATATTTAAAATTCTTTCGGGTGGACAAAAAAGTAGGATCTATGTATGTATATAAATATTTCCTCGTATTCTGACCTTCTTGAAGATATCGCACACCGTCTTCAAAAGAGTCACAACTCAAAATAACACGTTTGTCAGAAAATGCGAAAAACTATTTCTTAGCATATGATAATCATATGGGCAAGGGCGACTTTACCTTGGGTTTTTTTTAACAAATTATAACAAAAATTTGCTCCAGCTTTTGCTGAAAGGTAAATAAAAGCTCTTTATGCATTTTTAGCGCATAATCTCAAAAATGCCAAATTTTGAGTTGTGACTCTTTTGAAGACGGTGTGCGATATGCTTCACATTCTTCGTCATAGTAACTATCGGGTTTCATATATCGATTATGATTGCAACTGCATTCCGAATACGAATGAATACAGCCTTTTCAACCTATTTGGGTTATCTGATTTTGTGATTATATTTGTTACACCGATAAAAAAAAACATATATTTAATAGGTTGAGCCAGGGGCGAACCCAGGTAGGGGTTTTGGGGGTCCCACCCGCTCCCCTGGGTACCCTTTCTTACGAACTCGTCAGCCAGGCAGTTTCCCCTATTGTCATAGCGGTAGTACATATTTTGACGTAGAATATGTCTTACGTTTCGATATGGAGGCTATGCTCAAATGTTGTAGTTGCAATTTTTAGAGCTTTACGAAAACGCTTGTTGCACGTGAACTAATAAAGCGATTTGAAAAAAACGTGTGGCGTTTGAAAGACATAATTCCAAACCTAACGACACATTCTTATTGGCTTATTTCGGGGTCAATTTTGAGCCTTGGGGGTTCTAGCAACTTACGATTTGCAGGTTAAACTTTCATTTTCGGGATATAGGTTCTTTGGAGCAATAGAAATATTATCGTGTACAAATTTTATATAAGTTCAACAAATATTGAGCATTTTAATGCAAAAAATTGTTGAAAAAATTAGCACATTTTTTTGTTTCTGAATTGCACCAAAAATTCAAGATTTTTCCTTTCATTTGGTATATGGGAAGTATTGGTTGATATCTTTTAAGTATGTTTATTTGATTCAAATATATGGGCATAAATAATTTTCCATACAAAATCACTTCCTCATCACTTTAAAAAACGTCCATGCGCTGGAAGTAGGAGAAGGAGACAAAAAGTATGTGTGTGTAGGTATTTCGGCTTTTGAATAACAGATGGCGCAATATTTATAAAAAGCAAATGTGAAGGGGAATATGTAGATGAAGAATATGAAAGACATAAAAGTAAAAACAAAGATAAATATAAATATAAAGAAAAATATGAGTATGAGGATACCGATAAAAGTAGAGATGAAGATAGAGGAAGAAAGATTAAAATAAAGGTAATTATAGAGAAAAGGATATAGACAGAGACTCAATCTGGGGACTATTTCCGGATTTTAGAGATTTTCGGAATTCTCGGGACTCATCGATATAATAATCGATATTTTGCCGGTTTTGTTATCGATATTTTTTATTGATTTTGTTATCGAAATTTTTATCGATATTTTTATTGAATTTGCTATCGATATTTTCGAAACTTATCGATATAATAAACGATAAGCTGGCATTTCAGGGTACTATTTTAAATATATATAAGGAAAATTTGAAAGTTAAGGGGGGGGCTCGAGCACCCCCCTGCCCCTACCTGGCTACGCCCATGTATAATATGGCGTCTATGTATTAGAACACCTACCGTGGGTCCGCCACTGACTGACACGTAGTTTAACCCCGAAAACCCCCCGCTGGATCCGCCACTGGCTGAAGATTTTCATTTTCATGTAGCATTTTAATAGATTTCCCTGCAGAAAAAGGATAAACAACATGTACAGGAGGAAACTTATTTTCTTTCCTGCTCACCGGATAGTTCCCTATATCTATTTACATACTATGTATATGTATTCCTTTACACTTATTTTTTTTCAGTTTCGCTATGCGACATTATGGGATCGTTTGCTTGTAGTTTTTGGTGCTGTTGTGGCATCTCTAGCTGCACTTAGTTCACCATACAATATAATCATCTACGCCGAGCTAACAACGCTGCTCATAGATCGCAACGTTGGCATTGGCACGTCTACACCAGCGCCGATTTTGAGTGCCTTCGGCGGCGGTAGGAAGCTGTAAGTGGAAAGGCTATCGTTTTTAACATAAATACAAATGTCGCTAATATTATTTATTTGTTTTGCTAATGTAGTACGAATGCGAGTCATGCGGAGAATATGCTAGCAATCAAGGAGGATGCGTTGGCTTATGGATTAGCTACGCTCGTTGGGTGTGTAGTGGAGTTGATACTTTTGGCGCTAGCGGTCGATATGCTCAATAAAGTTGCACTCAGACAGGTTTGTACAACATTGATAAATCTGTGAAAAGAAATTTGAATAGCATAAAATTCGTATATATTTTTTTTTTAATGCAGATAGCAAAAATTCGAAAACTTTTCTTGGAATCCATTTTACGTCAGGATATGTCTTGGTATGACACGTCTTCCGGCAATACGTTCGCCAATAAGATGACTGAGTATGTTTGACACACCACTCACACAGCAGATTTTCAATAATTTTTTTTTTCCTAAATATAGAGACTTGGATAAAATGAAAGAGGGAATCGGCGAAAAAGTCGCAATATTCGTTTTCCTCATTATGACCTTCGTAACAGGAATTATTTTCTCTTTTGTCTATGGTTGGCTTTTAACATTGGTGGTACTCACCTGTTGTCCGTTTATTATCATTTCTACTGCCTATGTTGCAAAAATCCAAAGCACATTCACACAAAAGGAACTGAAGGCTTACTCAAATGCCGGTGCGGTCGCCGAGGAGGTCTTCTCGGGCATACGAACCGTCTTCGCATTTAGTGGTGAACGCAAGGAGACTGAACGTTTCGCCAAGTTGTTGGTGCCTGCTGATGTGATGGGACGCAAGAAGGGACTATACTCCGGTATTGGCGCCGGCCTTATGTGGTTCATTATTTATATTGCCTATGCAGTAGCTATTTGGTATGGCATACAACTGATATTGAAGTATCGATATGAGGACGAAAAGCTGTACACTGCTGGCTCATTGGTTATAGTGCTCTTCAGCATAATAATGGGCGCACAGAATTTGGGTTTCTCGCTGCCGCATGTAGAGTCGTTCGCAACGGCACAAGGCGCTGCACAGAATGTCTTTTCCACCATTGATCGCGCATCGGAAATTGATCCGTTGAATGAGAGCGGCGCCAAGTTGGAAAAAGTTGTGGGGAACATAAATTTTGAGAACTTACATTTCAATTATCCGGCGCGGCCTGATGTACAGGTGCTCAAGGGCTTCTCATTGCAAGTGCCAGCAGGTCAAACGGTTGCGTTGGTTGGTCCTTCTGGCTGTGGCAAGTCAACAACACTCCAACTATTGCAGCGCTTCTACGATGCACCCACCGGCTGTGTGCGTTTGGATGGTCGCGATCTACGCGAACTCAATGTTGGCTGGCTGCGCTCACAGATTGGTGTTGTCGGGCAGGAACCAGTGCTGTTTGCCACAACCATACGCGAAAATATACTTCACGGTAAACCCACTGCAACGCAAGAGGAAATCGAGCAGGCCGCGCGCATGGCTAATTGCCACGACTTCATAGTGAAGCTGCCAAACGGTTACGACACTATGGTCGGTGAACGTGGCGCACAGATGTCCGGTGGCCAGAAGCAACGCATAGCCATTGCACGTGCACTCATACGTAACCCGAAGATACTGCTCTTGGATGAAGCGACTTCGGCCTTAGATCCCACATCTGAGCGCCGAGTGCAAGACGCACTCGATGTAGCGAGCCAAGGACGCACCACGCTGGTGGTTTCACATCGGCTCTCAACAGTGACAAATGCCGACTTGATAGTGTTCGTGAAGGATGGTGTTGTAGCCGAGCAGGGTACGCATGAGGAACTAATGCGCGCGGAAGGACTTTACTGCAAGCTGGTGATGATCTCCAAGCGCAAAGAAGAGGAAGAGGCCTTGGCGAACACCTCGAATGCTGTGCGCCAGCGTAAACAACAATTGGCTGTGCCAGATGATTCCGACGACGAGGGTGACTCAAGCTTTGATGAAGCAGATGCCGATAGTGTGGTAAGCCGAAGTAAGTGGCACTATAACGATTCGTGCGAGCGACGAAATACCAACTAATTTTAATATTCTTTCCACAGAGAAGACGAAAAGGAAGACGATTAAAGCCGAGAAACACAATATCACTTTTGCACAGCTGATGAAAATGAATGCGCCTGAGTGGCGTTACATTCTGGTCGGCTGCATAGCGGCCATGCTGCACGGTGCTACATTCCCCGTATGGGCGGTGCTCTTTGGTGACTTCTTTGGCGTAAGTCGAGCTGATATTGACTACACAAATTCAAATTTTTAAATCTTCTATGTTCCACTTTTAGATCTTATCTGATCCGGATGATGACTATATCACCAAACAATCGATTTTATTTGCTATTCTGTTCATCGTTATCGGTATAATTGCTGGCATTGGCTCACTTCTACAAACTTACATGTTCAGCACTGCGGGCGTGAAAATGACATCTCGCCTGCGCCAAGATGCTTTCAAGGCGATAATCGGCCAGGAAGTCGGCTACTTTGATGACGATCGTAATTCAGTGGGCGCACTGTGTGCTCGCCTTGCTGGCGATTGCTCGAACGTACAGGGTGCAACAGGTTCACGCATCGGTATTAT